CTTCCGAAGTCCGAGCAGCGTGCTGCACGGAGGGCGGAAACGAAAAAGAAAAAGAAGAAAAGGTTCGTGGTTTGCATACGATCAGTTTGGGAAGCGATGCGAACGCGGAACCGACGACGACTGTTCGTTCGGCGTGGTGCGTGTGCGCGCGTAGCTGACCTCGGGCGCGCTCTCTCGGAGCCCACCACCCTGCCGTCCCGCTGGGCCGGCCGACGTTCCGGCTCCCGCTCTCTGCGGTTAATTGGGTCAGCCCGGCGGCGTCCTTGCCGACGCCGCCGCTGCTGTGTGTGTGTGTGTCTGTGCGTGAGCCGAGCCGACTTCGAGACTGTTGGATTGCTGGAGCAGATCTGGCCGGTCGGTAGAACCGGAACCGGTCGCTCCGGTGCGATTGGACTGACTTCCTTCCGCGCGAAAGTGCTGGTCGTTCTCATCGATCGATTGATAGGTCATATCAAATCAGTGATGTATCGTCAATACAGACATAATGTGAGTTCATAATAAAGAGACCAACCGGCGTATTAGGTGCTCTAGACCAAGTGCGGGCTGAGGTGTATCAAACGGGCCTCCGGCCTTTCTGGTACACCTCAGCCCTCCTGGGCCGAAGGATTATTACTATTATTATTATTATTGAACCGAATTTACTCAGTTCGTACTGGAAACGTTTAGATATAGCGGGGTACTCATATTAGGGAGTATTCGTAGACCGTGTTTTCACTTCTGCTTGTCTCTGCAACGAAGACGCCACGCCACTACTGCGCATGCGCGCCGCTAGCTTTGCCTATAGGATTCCGGATCTCGTAGCGGGCTGCGGAGAGCGCTTGCGGGACGGAAGAAACGATCTGCGAAAACTCCTTTTTAACGGAGTTGAGTTCGTATTTACGGAGTTTGTATTAACGGAGTTCGCATTAACGGAGTTCGTAATAACGGAGTTCGTAATACCGGAGTTCGTGTTAGCGAGACGTGACTGTAATCGCTTTCTGCGCGCCGCCCTCTTTGTCTACTGGTCTGTATGACGCGTTCTGAACTTGCATAACTCTCTCCGGCGGAATATCAGACGCCGATCACGCATCGACAGCCCGGAGACTCGGCATCCTTCGCCCGAGTGATAATAACTAGGAAAAAGTGCACGGAACGTACACTTTGGCTGGAGACTGCTGCCCTTCGATGCACTCGAGAGAGCATCTGTCCAACCAGTGAGAACGGCGGTCGGCATCATATTCGAATAGACGTCGCGTTTGTGTCGGCGATGTCCTTCCCCACGCTCCAGAGTTGCGACGCCTGTTCTGGACCAGCTCGTTCGCATGCTCGCTTAGTCCACCTTCCCATTCGATTTCAAACTGCCTAAGTCTAAACTCAAAACAAAACAAAAATCAGAATGACCTGCTTTGGTGGTGTGCTTAATATATATATAAAAACGAAAAAAAAAAAAAACTTCTAGTCAGGGCATCCTTGACGTGAAAATATATTAAGCATTTAAAAGTCGGAAGGAGAATAAAAAACTGTGCGCTTCCCTTACACGCATAAAAAGTGAAATCTAATGAGCCTCCTAAACCCTAAAAAAAATGTAAAAGAAACACATGGGAGAGGGAAAGAGAGAGGAGTTAAATAATGAAAGCGCTACAACAGAACGGTACAGAAGGGCGAGAAGACAAAGGCGACCGCGTACCGCCACAACACCGGTCGTCCACGGTGCCAATTTACCCTAAAAACCTGTGTTTTCACGCCTCTGACCCCACTCTTGCCAACTTTTTTTTTTTTTGCACCCTATTGCTTTTGTTTTCACTGCGTTTGGTGCTCCACGCAACGGGAGCTTCCAGCTGTCAGGTGTCAGCAAAAGGCGAAATAAACTTAAAGAAAAAAAAAAATAAATTAGCAAGCGCACCACTGAAACGGTCTGAAGCGGTCATCGAACGATTTTTTTCCACGAACAAATAAAACATCTAGAAACAAGGATTGCGGTCTTGAGCAAAGCGCCGCGATTATCCGTCAAGGGACTGCGACGTAATACTAGAGTACATGTGAACAGGTCTTGACGAAAAAACTACACTGTGTCCATGCATGTTCTCGGGACTGGACGAACTCTCTTCTGTGACATGATGTCACTTGTAAACAATGTAATACAAATAAAACGAAAATAAGAAATAAAAAAAAAGAAGGTGAGGTATCATCGGACTGTCAAATCGCAAGCTGACGTATCTGCGATTTTTTTTTTTTTTTTTTTTAAGGAGGGGAGTGGAGATTACGCGGTGTTCGTGCGCATTGGGAATGCTTAGTTTGTATTTGGACTAACGCAAATATAACTTGACTTCGACCTGAAATGGAGTACGCACGCAGCTCGCGCACTCTAAGCTATACTTTGTTTCAGATTTAAGTTCAGACGCAGCTGACGCTGCCAGCTGATGAAGTCATTCAGGCAGCGTCAAAAAGCACATCATCGTGGTGCGTTCGTCGTGTTTCTGTGCGTGTTACGTCATCGCTGAACTAATCATAAACAAAAGGCCCAGTGACTTGCACTTTTGACGCTGTTTGATTGGTTCCATTAGTCACAGCGTCGGCTGCGCAGCTGAAACGAAGTATAGGTGCCCATCTCGTTCCCCAAGTCCTCGCGTCAAGAGTCCCTCCTCGACATGTTCCACACCTAAACGTGCCTATAGTCATCCAACTTGCAAAGAAACCCCCACGTGCAGCTAGGAACCCGTGAATACGCGTGCACAAACATACGCAGGTTTCCGTCTTCTATGCATACAACCTCAGACACGCACAAACGCAACCAGGGGCTCTCTTTTAAAGGTCCCCATGGCCAACCGTCTTTTAGGCCTAGCGCTCCCCGTGCCTCCACGAAGAGGGGGGGCTTCCCCGCCAGGGCCTGTTCTTTTAAAGTTTCCCTTCCCCGGCATGGCTGTTGGACGCGGGGTTCCCAACCGCCACCCGGAGCACACCTGTCCCCAGTCACGTGACCGCTAACGGAATATCGGCCTCGGCGGACGACAGATGTTCAGCGTGCGCGACTGACTACTGCTCGCGGGTTTTTTAAACGCCGCGCCGAGTTCGTCGTCGCGTGCGATGGCGTCGTCGATTCCGCGTAATTGCGCGGCCGCTGCATTGCACTCCGGGGTCCTGTTCGACGGGCTTCGACTGCTTCGGACAAAGGCCGAGACGAGTACGCGGACGAAGAAGGGATGCGTCATCGCTGCTTTTAATTATCGAGGCTTTCGGGAGCGAGTTCGGCTCATGTGGGGCGAAGTCGTTTTTCGGCGCCCGACCGTTGAGAACGCCCCAGTGATCGGACGCAGGCATAAATAGGCATGCGGTGGACGGGGAACGTAAATCGGTCACAGTACATTCGTTATTAGACACTCTCATTTTTCAGGGGCGATTATTATGTTCAGGCGATTAACTTTTTTGCCAGTCCCGACGCCGTATATCTGAAAATAGATTGGGGCGTGGAGGTGCCGTTGTGCGTCCAGGTTCCAACGCTATCCAGGGCTGAGCGCTCCACCGCTCGCGCTCAGCCTCGGATAACAGGAGAGTTTTAGAAGATCTTGGTTTCAGGCCACGCTTTTTGTAGCGGGAGTTCGCGCTGCCACTACGATGCATGCTCTGAAGCTTGCGCCCGTATAGCGGTGGCGGGCCCTCGAAAGCGATCTATACTAAAACTCCCTAGTGTACGTGAAGGTTCCCTCGGCTGTAAACGCTATCCAAGGCTAGGCGCTCGTGCCAAAACCGGTGCAAAAAGGAGACCCAAACCTCCGCTCTCAACATCTTCCAAAGAGAGACTGCGGAACGGCCTGTTTCCTTTTTCTTTTTTTGGACCTTATGGATTGCCCAATAGATATATACGCGTGAGTAGTACATTTCTGCGGCTGCCGGTATCTGCGCCCTCCACAACATTACAAAGGGTTATGAATGCATTAATGATTTAATCACTCGAAACCTGTCACTGCGTACATCCCCCCCCCCCCCCCCCCCCCCCCCCCCCCCGAAGGACTCTTCACGGTATGGTTCTGTTTCGTAGTAGCACCAGCTAGTTACAGCATTTGTCTTCGAAAAGATATACATGGCTCGCACTTACGTCCATCGGCGACCATTCTGGTGACCTCGTTGCTGAGCACGTACCCTCCGCGTCGTACCATGCGCACCAATTGATACGTTTTTTTATTGGAAAGACCGGCATGGTGCAATGACAAGCCATGTACATATGTATATTCTTGGCCCTATCTGATGGGGCGTTCGACAACCCCCCCGACGTTCACGGGTGTCACGTGCTCGCGATACAGGTGTCTTCCTCCCTCGCGTCCTTTCTCCATGTCTCGCTTCCGGCTGAGAAACAAGCTGTGCGAGAAGAGGAACCCGTTCGTCGAGACACTCGGCGTGGCTTCCGCCAGCGAGCGGCTCGCTGGAAGAAGACGCGCCACGGGAGAGGACAGGCGCGCGCGCGAGTGCCCGAGACCGGAAGTGACGACCTGACAGCTGCTCCCGACCGACTTCCGTAGAAGAGACAATGACACCACCGGGGACGGGGCGTTGTACAGTCCAAACAGCAGTTGTCTGTGTCTACGTCGAGGCCAGCAGGCGCCTAGAGATGCGCGCACACGCACGGTTTGGTCGTGTTATTTTGGGTTTCTTTCTTTAAGGACAGGGTTGCCAGGCGATCAATCCGGCCTGGCTGACGCTATGGATGCTTCACTCTCGAAGGAGGAGGCCCTTCAGCGCTTTAGCGGGCGGATCTCCCTTCAGAGCGTTGACGAGTAGCAGGTTCGGGCCTTCTATATCTAGACAGACGAACAGTAAAGGCCGTGTGCGGGCGTGAAACGCTTTAGTAGGTGGCACGCGCTTTCATTCTATGCGCCAGAAACAAAACATCCGAGTTAAGTCGTTAATCTAGCGAGGTTTGCGAAGGGTTCGTTCTCGGCTTCCGCTCTTTGGTTCCAGAGCGCGCCAATTCTGGCACGCCGTGGCATAGTAAGAAAGTGCGAATAAAGACTACTCTGTGCACTCACTTGCAATGGGACTCTCCGGTGGGGTTGGACGAGACGCAGGACGCCCCGTTCTTGCACGGGTTCGGCGAGCAGGACACGAACGCTGCGGGGAAAGTACCAGGACACTGGTTAGAACAGGAAATGGCCACACTAATTGATTGATTGATTGATTCATTTATTCATTGACCAGAGCTCGTGTCGTAAAAGCCGGTCTCAAAATTTTCGTGTCTAATAACGCACGTATCCACAAATCGAATTGGTTTATTCGAGGGCCAAAAAAGTTAAGAAACTCAAGCAGGTTGGAAACAAAATGTGGTTGGCCTCGCTTTCGCCTGCATATTATTACGTGAGAATTATATAATTCGCGTCACAAATTTAGTTGTTGATTTTTTTTAATTAGTTTTGCACGTATTAATTCGCAATCCAAGCAGCTCACGATCCGTTTCTCGAGTTAAGTACATGGTGACCATGATTCATTGCATGTTGTCGACGTGCGTTGATATTAGCATCGTGCGTAAGTGTAGTAAATTAATAAGTTTAATAAAATTTAAAGGAAACAAAATTCCTACTTTTTCATTTTTTTAGAGACGTTTGTGAGGGAAAAAGAACACATTTTCGTGGTTTGTCGTTAAAATGTTTGACATCAAAAGACAATAAAAGAAAACAAAAAAACAATATACGCGCTGTAAAAATGTATTTTCATACGCCTAAGAACAAGTACAACGTTGTGCTCGCGAACCATCTTGAGCACATCCAGCTTCTTTTTTTTGCAGAATAAGACACAGCGTCCCGTTGTGCTGCAGAAGAATGGAAAGACGGCTTTTCAGTAGCATGTTCCAGAACCGATTCCGGGAAGTCTTTAGGAACGCCAGTGTTTGTTATCCTTCCCAAAGAGGCAGAAAAGCACGCACGCGCCTCCCCCGGCTTTCAGAATAGCATCGAACCGGCGCGTCTCGGGGCTCTTCGCAGCCGTCCTTGTCGCTCGTGAACTCTGGGTCGAGGTCGGAACCCCGGGCCCGCTGCCTTGCAAGGTCGTCGCCGCATATACGGCACGACTCCCGATTTGGAAGCACCCGGCGAGCTTCGCGGAACCGAAAGGGGATCGCGGGGCCCCCTGGCCTGGAGGAGCTCTCTCTCGGTGTCCGCACTCAAGACGGTTCTGCTTCCGATGGTCCTGGAAGCGCTCCTTGCGTTGCTGCTGTTTCAGTCGGTTTTGATTTGGCCCGGAGGCGTTCGTGGTTGTTGCGTCTTTCCGAGAAGCGGTTTAAATGTTAACGTTTTGAGTATATTGATATCGTTTGTCAAAACAAGATTGTTATATATTAATATATTTATTTAGGGAAACCACGAGTGCGGTAAGTTATATCAGGTATAAACATAAGGTAAAGGGAACATTCTCTTTCTCTGCGTTCTTCGCCCTCGGGGAATCTAGCGGTCCGTTGTAGTAGGTGTGGCTACTCGCCGTCATTCCATGACGTTATTATTTTGTCTCGACACAAAAGTGAGACTGCGAGAGAGAAATAAATGAAGCATAGTTTATGGCGGCTCATGGAGTGGACTCGTGTGTGAGCGCTCCTTCTGTTGCCCTTGTAGGTGACGATGTAGATTTCTATAGGAAGTGGCTGATGCCGAATGTTATTGGTTTGCTTCTGTTATTTTCTTGCCTTCCCCCTTTCTGCGTTTATTTCTGTTTTTGCACAGGAATACAGTCTCAGCTGTAGGTCAGCGCCCTGTCTGAATGTTTCCTGGTCCTGGTCCTGACTCTTTTAGCGCTGAACTCACTAAACAAACGGTAAGTGACTTGATTGGTTATCTTAAAACACCTAGAAATCTGGAGTTGGCAAGCACTCGGCAGAGCCGATCACTGCGGAGAGAGCTCGGCGAGGCGAATGACAAGTTTAGAACGGAGAAGAAAAAAAACTGTCTGTGTCACTGGTCATGACGTCTCACCATTCTCAGTGTCCCAGCGTAGTCTTCAGTCGTAGGTCTAAACATATGCTTAGGCCCGTCATTCGTATTGCTTCCTCGGTAGGTTGCAGCGATTAACGCTCTCGAGTGCTTTGCAGGGAATTAGGCGCTCCGGATTTCTGAGAGTGCAGTTAAGAGTTGACGCCCACACGTATAATGAGATGTCGGATGTAGAGTGCGCGACAAAGGTGGCAGAAACAAACAATCTCCGAGGATTTTATTTATTTTTTCCCCTTGAAGAACTGAGAATTTGTTGTCAAATTTTAATAGCGAAGTGTGTTTGCAAAGTGTTCATTGAGAGCACCAACGCTGCCGGTAAAAGTTGGCGCTCCTCGATACCTTTTCTGTCTAAAATGCGAAAAGGAGCCGATGTCGCACTCGAACTGTGTCGAGAAGTGTGCTTTTGCGTCGCACGTTTTCTGCTTTAAACCAGATGGCTCAACAATGTAAACGTTCTATTTCTTGTCAGTATAGTGACCTGTTCCGTCCGTGTTTACTGTACGCACTTTTAACTGTGCATCAAAACGCTCAATTTTCGGACACCGCAGCTCCAAAGTAAACAAACTCGGTGGACTCGCCGAACGAACGCCGCCAGGAACCACCGTCTGAACGGCCTTCCATACGACCGGCAGGACGTCAAACGTCCCCCGATGGGGTCCGGGACATATCCCCCCAGATAAATAAATAAACAAACGGTCCGAAACAGAGACTAACCTCTACCAGCCCCTCCATTTACATCCCAAATTCCCCATCACTTTCTGTCTCCCTCTCCCCCTCCCTCTCTTACTCTGCCCCCTTCACACACACACACACATACACACACACACACACACACATACATAGGTATATTCAAACAAGCTCGTTTATTTTGCAGTCTGTTCGGAAGATACTTTCACTCCACATTTGTTTTAATGTTCCTTTTCTGTTGCGATGTTTCATGCATGCTGCGCCAAACATGGTATACGGAGCAGGTCTCGAAGCGGACCATTTTGTGAGTTCCTGTTTTATTTTTATTATTGAACTTTCTTTTACTGGCTCCGCCATTTTTTTTTTTTTTTTCACCTCTAACGAGGCGTCTCTATCTGATGCCTTCCTTGTTCCAAATTCTAAGCAACAAAGTAACGTGGCGACTCCAACAACAATGCGACTAAAAAAAAAAAAAAAATGATATCAGCCACACATTACTAAGAACAAAAGGTTTTGAAAATTGGATGCGGTGGAGCAGGAAATAGAGGAGGAAGCTGAGGATGGAGAGGAGTGTACCTCTCTATCTATTTCCAGTAGTGCCTCTGCCTTCTCCCCTGTCTTCCTTCTTTCCTGTCGTTCTCCACCGCCTGTCAGCCGGGTGGCCAGTGTCACTTCTGCCGACCCAGACTCGGATGCTTCCTTTTATCTTTCTTTTACCTAGACGTCTCTGCCCCTCGTAGCTCTCACCCATGTGTTCATCTCCTTCCCCGCTGCGTTTGAACGTTGTTCTGTCTTAGTCAGCAAAAAACGCGATTACAGGTTTTTCTTCTTCTTTTTTTTGTGCTGTTTTTGTGTGGTTTTATTTCTTAGCGTGGTCGAAAACATGGCCCCATAGTGAAAGACAGAGAACAGGCAACGCGAAAGGGAGTTACCACCACGAGTCCCGGAACTTCCGGTGTGTGTGTGTGTGTGTGTGTGTGTGTGTGTGTGTGTGTGTGTGTGTGTGTGTTTGTGTTTGTGTGTGTGTGTGTGTGTGTGTGTGTGTGTGTGTGTGTGTGTGTGTGTGTGTGTGTGTGTGTGTGTGTGTGTGTGTGTGTGTGTGTGTGTGTGTGGACGGGGGATATTTTGGATGGTGGGAGTTTTTAGCCGATATATAAAATGTGATCAGCACTTCAGACTTCCTCGCCAGTGTACTTAGAAGTCGAATCAATGGATTTAGGTTTCAGTGAGTTGGCGAGCACTCCCTCTCTTGGTACCACACAAAGGAAACTTTAGCGACTACAAAAACAAGAGAGGAAACCGCGCGACGCTGTTAGCGCGAACACGACTTGGGCGCTTTTTCGCGTTTTGAAATCTATCACTGAGTGACCCAACTTAGAACTTTCCACCGCTAGATGCCAGTCCTTCAATATTAAGAGAACAACAATCATAAGCGGCGATGGCCTTTTCGTGCTAACTGTGTCGCGGAGCGCACAAAAAAACAAACATTTCGAACAAAAACAAAAAAAAAAAAAAAAAAAAAAAAAACGCAAGCGAGCTGGTAAATGACATTTATAGTAAACCCGAACCTTCGTTGTTCTCTGCGTTTCATTTTCTCGGGATTTGTGTTTGTTCTGTCCCCCTTTCTTGCCCTAATCTGGGAGTTTCGGTAATTATGTTCAACGTTTTGGTTCACTAATGAAGAGCATAATTCGGTCGAACTTTGGGGACGAAGATTTGATTCCTTAGGTTTAGCACTATTTTTAATGTATGTTTATCCTTCCACGTGAAAGATTGTCCAAAACAACAACCATACTACCAAAAAAAAAAAAAAGTATAAGAGAAGTAAGAGGAGGAGGGAGAAATGTCTGGCTCCGGTGTCAGCGGCGGATGCCACAACTGTCCTCCTCCGCTCGATTACGCTTCCTAGGTTTCGCCTGACCCAGGATCTGACCTCTTGACATTCTCCCAAGACCCCGGACCCTCCCTCCTCCCTTCCCTCTCTGTCTCTCTTTCTAACTCCCCCCGAGCCCCACTTTTTCTGTTTTCTACTGCCCTAACACTCTCCCGCCAAAAAACGCCGTCAACGGCATCTTGTCTTCCAAGTGCTCGTGCGTGGTGCTGACGCAAAGTAAAAGTGCCGGGTCGGCAGTGTCAAAGATAGCCACCGCGCATGCGCGCGGAGAGACAACAGAGAGCGAGAGGGCGTTAAAATATGCGCCGCTTGTGCGCGAATGCACTTAGCGCGGCGTCTGGTGCGCATGTGTCACCAACGCCACCACACGGTGGTGTGTTCCGCCAAACACACAACGCAAAAAAAAGAATGAAAAAAAAAATATACAACGTGAGCCCGAGTCGGTGACGGGTGGGCATCCTGCAAGCTTATCTTTCTGCGGTACAAAAAAGAGACGCGGAGCAGTTCACATGATGCGATTTCACGCCGCAGACGCGTTTGCGACAGTCAAGGCC